AGTGCGCAATTTAATATCGAATCGGCTGGTCCGGCTCCTACCAACGCTATCACATCACCCAATGCGTCCACCACCTGGGTTGTTAACTCAACTGTGGACATCACCTTCGACGTCACACAGGTAAAGAACGAGAACGGCACTCTCAAATCAATCGACCTGTACACATCCACCAGTAGCTTGCCGGTCGCCAATCTCGCCACCAACTTCCAGTCGAACACCGGCTCGGTGGCCGTCACAGTACCTGACGTTGCCAATGGCACTTACCGCATTATCAGTAAGTCATATATACAGCATATCCTCTTCCCATTCTAACAACTTAATCCAGTCACCGGCTACAATGCGGAGGAGACATGGGGCAGTCAGCCATTCATGATCGTGTCCTCGTCACCTGTTCCTCCCACCTCTGCCATCACTTCACCCAACGCTTCCACCACTTGGGTCGTAAACTCGACTGTCGACATCACCTTCGACATCACGCAAGTGAAGAACGAGAACGGTACTCTCAAATCGATCGATTTGTACATGTCCACCAGCAGCTTGCCAGTTGCCAACCTCGCCACCAACTTCCAAGCCAACACGGGATCTGTGGCCGTCACTGTACCCAACGTCGCTAACGGTACCTACCGCATCATCAGTAAGTCATCAAATGATATGATCTCGTTCTACGTCTTTCCGTCCTGACAAAAATCCACAGTAACTGGCTACAACGCGGAAGAGACTTGGGGCAGTCAGGCATTCACCATCGTGTCTTCACTCGTTCCCCCTCCCACCTACCCCGTCACTGCGCCTGACGCTACTACTACCTGGGTTGTCGGTGGGAACGTCACGATAACGTGGGACAGGACTCGGGTCGAGAATGGCACACTGAAGTCCGTTGGACTTTACTCCGCTGACGGTGGACTCGCCGTAAAGACTTTTGCCACCGGCATTGAGTCCACGGGCTCTCTCGACGTTGTTGTTCCCTACGTCTCGGCTGGCTTGTACCGTGTCATCAGTAAGTTTTTCCGCTTTGTAAAAACCAAAGCAGTCCGCTAATAGTAATTTGTTCAGTCCAAGGATACACTGGCAAGTCATACGCTAGTGCGTCTTTCACCATCACCGATCGTGGCGCCGCTCCCCCAGTGTCTGTCACCAGCACAACCTTCTTCACTTCCGCGACCTCTCCCTCTTCCAGCGTCCCTTTGACGACGACAACATTCACCGCGAGCGCGAGCAGCTCCGCTATTATCACACCTACGCCGGAGTCGCCCAGCAGCGCTGCTGTTACGGCCACATCCACGTCCACTTCGGATTCTGCGACTGGATCGTCGAATTAGAGTGCCGAAGCACCATAGACATGCATACAGTGGTCATTTTGGACTTTTGATCGTAGAGTTAGTATAGTACACGACTTTGTTGTGCTTGTAAACAGCACACTGTATATCTGGCATATAATCGTCAATCATAATTCTTCACCTTCTTCCCATCGTGCCAATGCCGAGTGCAACCTCATCTGCTTGTCAAGATCTTGAGTTCGCCTTCATTCCCCCCGCCCCTTAGGCTTACTTGGTCTGGATACCATCAAGTCAGAAATACTATATCCCACAATGTGAACACCTATACTGAAGCGCGTAAGAAACCACTTGGACTGCTCACCTCCGGACCTTGACATACACGATGCTGCATTGCTGAAAAGTTCAGACTGGACTCTAAGAAAACATGATGAGCTAGCCGGAAAGGAGGAACTTATGAGTTGCCTCAGAAAGTGTCACGCCGCAGCAAAACTTCCCCCTCCATGTCAAGCTCGTGTACAATCAACCAATGTTTACAAACAAGGAGACATGCTATTCGAGAGGCACATATTTCAAGCTGACCGCCTGACAAGATCTCAACTGTCGCGACTGATGCCGATCACAATCTTTCAACTTCCTAAGTAGGCAGTAGCTGAGTTTCAAATTTCAAAGTCGACTAGGTACGGCCAACCCGTGGGCCGAATACACGTCTTTCTTTCTACTCTCAACCACATACCGTCGCTCAAATGCCTACTGCTAACACTAACAGTTATGGCATCGCAGCCAATGCGACGTACCGATGTCTCATCCGCTCTGAACAACAGAAAGAATACGCAAGCGACATGCTAGGAAGATGGATTGGGCCGTTCTCTCCAATCACGTTTCTGCTGAAGCTCATGGAAATAACGGAAGAGGACCTCAACAAGATGCCTATAGAGGTCGAGTTTGACCGTCCTTGTGGCACCAACAACACAGATTCTTCAGAAAAGTTCGTGTACACTGCCTTTGTAAGTCTATTCATACCGGACATGGACCGTCACTGTGCGTAATATTCTGTCTACTAACTTGAGGCCATTCTAGGCCAAGGCAATCTGCAAATATGGTCTTTCGCCGAACATGCCATTGTTCATTTCCACAGACACCTCGGACGACGTGGTCAATACCCCAAACACAAGGCTCCGAGAGATTCATCGCATCCCGCTCACAACGTCAACGAAGCACCGCTACGAGAGACTGTCAACTGATAGTACACCAGCAGAGGCCACACATCTGGCGGATAGTGCCCCTCGAAGTTTTGACTGGTTCCAGGCATCGCTGATGGTCGAGTTCAAGAAGCACACATCCGACGATCCATTCTGGACTTCAGATCTCATCCTTAAGCCGTCGTGTCATCCCAACAGGGATCTCAAAAATCGTGTCGCATTTGAGAAGCACAGCCGGGCGGCCAGGGGGACTCAAGGCCAGCTCGTTATCTACGCCTCCGAGGTGTTCGCGCATCAGCAGCGAACACATCTGTTCCAGCTGCTGATCTGTGGAGAAGACGCTCGATTCATTTGCTGGGATCACTCCGGGGCGATCGTGAGTGAGTCTTTCGATTATACCAAGCAGCCACTCCTGCTCGCGGAGTTCTTATGGCGCCACAACCACATGTCCGACGAGGCCAAAGGCTTGGATTCGACTGTCAAGCTGGCCTGTAAGGCAGACGAGAGCGTGTTCAGGAAGTCGATCGACACGTTCAGGAAGACAGAACGCCGCAAGCTACCCAACATCGAGGACACGTTTAGCGGCAACTATCCTGTGTATGAGATGTCAGTGGAGGACGATCAATGCAACATGAAACTACTGGTACGGCGTCCGGTCTTCAAGTCGGGATCCGCTGTCGGTCGCGCCACGCGCGGGTACGTCGCCGTCTCTCAAGAAGACCATGCCGTGCTATTCTTGAAGGACACGTGGCGTGTCAACCACGCTCTCCTGCAGGTCGAAAGCGCGGTGTACAGACTCTTGGAAAAGTACGGTGTCCCGCATGTCCCAAGGGTGATTTGTGGAGGTGACGTGAAGGGCAGTGATGGGAAGGCACAGACGACAAGATGCGTGGAATGGATGAACTCGCAGGCGCTCCCTGTTGGATATGCGACATTGCCCACCCATACGCATCACCGAATCGTTCAGAGGGTCGCTTACCCCATAGAATCTGCGAATAACTCGAAGGAGTACGTGACTGCGTTTCTTAATGTTGTTATAGGTGAGTCCGTCGTGTGTGTCACTATGTGCGTGCCATGGAAGTTGACTGTTGTTGTTAGTGATTGAGCGCGCGTATGCGACCGAAGCCAAGATTCTTCATCGCGACATCAGTTTTGGGAACGTCATGCTCGCCGACGGAGTGGATGGAGCGGTTGGGCTTTTGGGAGATTGGGATCATGCCAGCGTTACGAATCCTGGTCAGAATAATGAGCAGGGAAATCATCGCGTTGTGAGTTCAGACCACAATCTTACACGCATCGTCACTTATGATTATTCGCTCAGGGTACCTGGGCGTTCATGTCTGTTGGCATGCTGAGAAACTCGACGAAGCCCCATGAGATTCTCGACGATCTCGAGTCAATGTACTGGACTATGCTTTATGGCGCTCTACACCGCTTCAAACATTCCGGCCGCATGTTTGACATGTCAATTCTTACTGAGTCACGCAAAGCAACTCGCTCCGATGGTACTAGTGAAGTCGTTGGTGGTAGACTCAAAAGGGCAGCTCTCTCAGAAATGTTTGAGCTGCTCGACTTTAACTGCAAGCCCTTGAATCGCCTACTCTTCCGTCTTGCGAGATCCCTTCATCGCTACTACACCGCGCAACAAGACCTCAATCAAGCCGAATATGCCGCTCTCGACGATGACCCTGAGTTCAAGAAGTTATTCCTTGAAGTTCCAGCTGCTCGTAAAGCCCTTCAAGACCAACACGAGAAAGTGAGCAAACCTTCTTCCTGGCGCGAGGAGATCGCGACAGCACTTGCAAGGACCGATTGGATCGACGATGCTGTAGAAACGAGTCCGTATCCAATCCCCAAAGAGGATGTGGAGACCAATTGTTTCAGAGAGCAGCAGCGAACTGCCCTCTCGATCAGCGAGAAATTGGACGACGCTGCCAGGAAGAATCCTCAGAAGCAACCGTTGCCGCCAGCTTCACTTCCTCGAGTACGAATCAACAGGCCTGCCCTTCCCTTGTCCAAACCTTCAAATGCGGGCTCGTTGCCTTCTATATCGACGTCAAAGCGGAGCCGAGACGAAATTGAAGCTGGCTCTGCAAGTACTGATTGGAATCGTCAACACAAAAAGCTCAAGCCGGATCATCCGGTGGGCCCTATCTTCAATGGCGTGACAGACAGACAGCCGACCGGTGACGAGGAGGAGGCTGAGACGAACGATAGGGTCGTCTGTAGTAAGGGCAAAAGCGCGTTTGGAATCGGATGCTCATAGGCTAGCCACTGCACACTTACACTAGCAGTAGACGGGCGCAGGGACACTCACAGGATATGTTTCGCATTATATCACTCATTGTTACAATGTTGCGGAACTCGCGTTCTCGAGTGCGAACCGGCTTCGCCCCGTGCAGGGGTAGTATTCATGTCGGTATTGAGTTGATGTACACGTTGTACATACCGTTCAAATCAGTGTTAAATAAGATTCCCGTCTCGCATCGTGTGACTGCTGGGAAAAGGGTAAAAGAATGTTTACTTTGGGCCTGGCCGGGAATTGAACCCGGGACCTCCTCCAAATCAGGTGTGTACCCTAAGAAGGAATCATACTACTAGACCACCAGGCCGGCATGAGGGATGCTTTCAAGCTCAACTCACGTGTGTGGCATCCAAAAGACCGTGAAATTGTACTGGAATATCGAGGAAATGGTCGTTTGCAGTAGTACAGGTCAAAGGAATCGACTTCTGATAGCCACTGAAGCGCGCGTTGCGTTGCAGCCAAATTATCCTGAGATAGCAGATACGCACCTCGCATAGGGTCAATGTACTGAACGTTCAAAATAATGCTCGAACGAGCGAAGCCCGCAGTCACTCGTTGTGTTTCGTTTGTATGCTTGGGCATAGCATAGCTCATGTTTTTCGCAGTAATGGGAGAGCTGCACTGCCAATGTATACAGGAACATGACATGTAAACCGAATGCGTATATGCGACAAAGAAGACCAAAACCACCGATGCCAATATCATGTGCGATGATGGGCTTACGCCTCTGTAGTCTTCTTGGCCCGCTTGACAGCGGACGTGTTCTCCCTGGGTAGACATCACTGCTGAGAATCCTGGTGGTTCAGGGATAAGAAGCAGGTAGAATCGTACCTGAAGCCATTTTTGAAGCGTCTTGAGACCTCCTTCAGGTAGCGCATACGTCCGGTACCAGTGGTCTTTCGGCGCTTGGCCTTCTGACCCCACTCATACGACCTCAGCTTCGCGCGAGGGTAACCGCACTGTGCGCAGTCTGCCGTTTGCAAAGATCCCAAGAAAACACAACGAGATGACGAAGACTCGGTTAGCACATTGAGGCGAGCTCATTCCAGAGGTACCCACCCTTGTGTTGCTTGTGAAACGAACGGCTACCACACCTGCGGCAGAGGGTGTGCGACTTTGTGTGCCGTTTACTGTAGGAAGAGACAGCACAAGTTTCAGTACAAATTCTGACGAGAGTCGAGAATCCAATACGCACCCGAATGATGTGGTACCTATGTACCGTCAGACGACCCAAATGAATTAGTTCCAAGGATACATATTTTCCGAGCACGCAACGAACCTTTCGTCTACAATAAAGTCATCAGCAATCCACTTAGTATATTGACTTTCATCGCTGTCAAAGTCTTTGGGACGTCTGCTGAATTCTCTGCACTTGCCTACCATATCCGCCCAAGCGTCCTGCCATCCATCGTTCCAACTTCTCCGATTCACCCCGTTCAACCTCTCATCAACGCATATAGCAGACGTCCTTCATATTGACAGAGTTGCAAAGTGTGACTCACCATGTTGTCTTGAGGATTTTGCGGTTGCCGATGTGTGAGGCGGCGGGCGCGATGTCTGCAGCAGCCTCAGATACGATCACGTAAGCTACCAAAATAGGTATCGACATTGAGCGCTTGGATTATACAATGAGCGTCTATAAAGTCGAACTGGAGAACTGCCGCTGCTCAGCATTCTTGTATCGATGTCGTGCATCGTGCGGTTTATTGGTACACGACAAGTTTTAATGTGCGTTCAAGATACTTGTTATCAACAGAGATGCTATATAGATACTGTCTGGAGAGTATTGGGCAAGGGTCTAACTGTTCCAATGAGTGGTGAGTAACTTCAATCTGCCCTCGGAGTTGGCAAGGAAGCACATCTAAAATGCAATGTGCGCAGTGTCTTTGGCGCGACCTTCCAGCTGAACAAGCTCAGCTTGATGCCTGTTCCACGATATTTAACTTTTGCCAACATTCAACTTCTCATCACACTTCCCTAACATGTTTGACTGGCAAAACACACGGGCTATTGGCTCTGCAGTGATGGTGCTGTACAAAGATAAGCTAGAAGAATAAAGTAAAGTATACTAGCTCATATAATAGACAAACAGATTCAGACTAGACGAATGCTCTAATGCACATCACATCAAAGGAAAAAGTACACCTTCTGTCATAGCAGTAATGACATTATATAGGAATGTAAACATACTATGCATGCTTAAAGACATGGATTTGATTTACATGGAGAATACATACTGATAGACATGCTGAATACAATGGTCATATTACAAAGTGAGATTTTGTTAATGACAGTTCAATCAGCATGCAAATGTTTGGTTGCAATATATAATCATGCTTTACTACCAACTAAACACCTTTTTTTATTCAAGTTGTACAACATGTATATAACATTTGGACTTCAGGGATTGTATCTTGCCATTTACTGGCACTATGGTAAAACTATATATTATAATGTAGTTTCCCATGCCTGATTTCAAGGACATTAGGTAGCAGAGTTCCCACAGTCTTGATAAGGGAATTATGCAGCTGTATAAGGTAATTGTAGTAGTAACCATCACATTAGCTGAGACATACAGATACAGTAGTGGCAAAAAGTCTTGCGACACCGCAAGCGCGCAAGATTTTCTCATTGTTTGAGTTCATTTTTTGCATATAGTTTTTGGTTACAGTTCTCACACATTCATTATCATGTAAAAATTGTGTCCTTAGTAAAAAAGGGCTGATTGATGTTGTGCGCAAGGAACTACGTACAATCCACACAAAAACTGCATTAGGCACCCACATGTTGTACAACTACTATTGCATATCATCTTGAGTATTCTAAGATAGGCCCAGTACACTCCCCGCTACATCACATGACAGGTGTGACGGCGCTTGCGTCCATTTTGGTGGGGGGCCACAATTGTAAAATTAATTACTGGCTCATGGAGCCATATAAAAACAATATATAACCGGAGAACTATACACAAAGATGTTTGCTAGAATTCTTAGGTTACAAATTTTTAGAGATGGTAGTCGTAAGGGAGCAACATCCAAAAACACCGCAGAGAACGAGCGCTAAGAGAAGTTATTTGGAACTGCAGAATAGATGACTGTTTTCCGATGGCGAGCTGACCGAAACAGTGCACGGATATTATAGAGGGACCTGCACCTTCACGACTGGCAGAGAGGCTACTGCTATGGCAAGAATGTCGAAGAGAAAACATGCCGCCATTAGCAACCTTGGCAAGCATGCTCAGCCTTCGAAGCAGCCAAGGCAAGCGGCCCTCAATGAGAATAACAAAGAGAATAAAGTGAGTCTCATATTATGATGTAGATGAGACATGTATGACTCACATGCGTGTCTCAGGGCACTGCGCGCGATGACAGTGGTCTGCACATCTCCGCGACGACAGTTGAAGCAAGCCTAGAGCAAGCTGCGTGTCTTAGAACGCAGATGTCAACAACGTTTGATGAAATCTGCCAGCTGACCTGGGCACCAGAGACCGTCAGCACAACATATCATGAGCCCATGCAAATTGAGACACTCACATCTGTTCCTGAGGCTTCAATGGATCTCGAACCAACCGTGACACCAGGGATGCGGTCAAGCTTGGCTTTGCGCAACAACTCTGATGCACAGTTCGAGCCCCCTCCATCTGTTGCTGAAGCTCGAGCTGCATGGATGGATGTCAAGAACATCCTGCAGCCCCGTCAGAAATCTGGACGCAGGCATTTGACTTTTTGAGGTGACGAGGGATTGCGGAGGCAGCTGGGACAGATGCAGATGTTCTTGTACAAGTATGTCCATGGGACAATGAGCTGGATCTCTGCATCAGTAAACACTATGCACGACACAGAGGCAAGCACTTACATGGCAAGACGACTCCGCGAGTGGACGAGAGCGTTCATGAAGAATTGTCAGGCACTCCTGTACAGCGGATTGGTCAATGGCTATTGGAACGTGTGCCTCCTCAATCAAAAACCCGACCTAGCAATTGAGGTTCTAGACCACCTGCAAAGCGTCGGGAAATATGCCCGTGCGCAAGACATTGTTGACTTCACTGCCAGAGCGAACGTTCAAGCAAATCATGGACTCACGAGGGCTGTTTGTCTGTCAACGGCGCAGACCTGGATGTGTCATCTTGACTGTCGCTGGATGAAGAGCCCCCACGGACAGTTTGTTGATGGACATGAGCGAGAAGATGTTGTGGCGTACCAAAACAACGTTTTCCTCCCTGCCCTCGCTGATCTTGATCCCGACGTTCTTCACTTCAATCCGGATGGCACAGTAGTTCCTATCCCTGGCAATACTCCCCTGCCACGCAATTTGCAAGTCGTCTACTGGTTCCATGACAAGTCAACGTTTTATGCCCATGATCGCCGTATCATCCGATGGGTGAATAGGGGCAAAAAGGTGGTCCCTCGTGCCAAAGGTGAAGGGGCTTCATTGATGGTTGCTGACTTTGTCTCGGCCGATTTTGGCTGGCTGCGTTCACCAGATGGCATGGAATCTGCACGGGTTTTGTTCAAAGCCGGGCTGGCCCGCGATGGCTACTTCACTAACAATGACATCGTCGCTCAGCTCACTGCTGCCATGGACATCCTCCAGCGACACTATCCCGGAATGAGGCACATCTTCATTCTTGACAATGCAACGACTCACCTCAAGCGCGCCGATGATGCTCTGTCAGCTCGTCGGATGTCTTTGAATCCAACAAAGGATGGCCAACTGATGTTTGGCGTTGATATCAAGCAAAGCACACCTACCGGTCAGAGAAAGGTTCGAGTTCGGATGGCCAACGGACAGCTTGCAGACGGTCGCCCCCAGTCTTTGTATTATCCACCAGGACATCCTCGCGCAGGTGTTTTCAAAGGGATGGCAACCATCCTTGGAGAAGTGGTATTGATGTGGAAGGTCTTCGTGCAGAGTGCCCGAAGTTCAGGTGCCCACCGCCCAGGCTTTTGTGCTGCTGCCGCAGGATCCTTTACAATCAGCCGGATTTCAAGAATGTCGAGAGCATAGTGGAGAAGCATTGTAGAGAGCAAGGCTTCAAGGTACTCTACTTACCAAAATTCCACTGCAAACTCAACCCAATTGAGCAATGCTGGGGCGTGGCGAAGCGAGAGTATCGGATGTTCCCTGACTCCTCACTTGAAGCTGACCTTGAGAGGAACGTTGTCGCCGCACTGGACAGTATATCGGTGACTGACATTTGCAAGTACGTACGGAAATTCTTGTGCTACAAAGTTTACTACTGATGTGCTTTGACATCCCTCGACTCAACAGATTTTATATTTGTGCCAGCCGTTTCATGGACGGATA